ATTCAACAGTATATATATATATATATATATATATATATGTGTGTGTATATATGTATGTATTGTGCTGTTTCTCAGGTGAGTGACCCTGTAGCAGCAGAGTTTAGTTTGAACACACAGATGTTCCTGCTGTCTAAGAAGGAGCTGTGGCTGTCTGATGGCTCCATGGGCTTTGGAGAGGGCACAGACACTGCCTTCATGGAAGGTACAAGATTCCAAAAGCAATATAATTCTTTAAATATTAGTTTAGGAGAAAATAGTTGAATTTATTTTTCATTTAGTCCCTGTATCGAGTGTGAAACCTCATTCTGACTGGTTCCCTTATAGATTCGAACATCTATGGTCGTGTGATGGTGGACCCAGTGCAGAACCTGGGTGACTCTTTCTCCTGCAGCATAGAGAAAGTGTTCCTTTGTACTGGCACAGACGGCTACGTGCCAAAGTACAACCCTACCAATAAAGAGTATGGATGCCTGGCTGATGCTCCATCCTTGCTCTATAGACTCAAGATCCTGGTATGTATTTATTTTTTTCTCATACCCTTCTTACATTACTGTACCTTTCATACAAATGTTCATTATGAATGTAGATCTCACAACTATGTGGATATTTATTTGAATAGAGGAAGATCAAAATGTCAATGACTTATAAGATTGTTCATGATAAAGAAAAAATATTTTATATTTTAGACCATTTTTTAAGTTTAAAATGTGTCTAAGAATATGTGGTTTCAAAAAAGTTTTACAATATATATATATATATATATATTGGCAAGGGGTGGGGAGGGGGGTAGTTGCACTTTACAATCTAAACTAAATTTGCCTTGTCATAAGGAGGTCAAATTATATTTCATATGTATTCTGTATTTTGCTCACACCAACATTTTTTTTTCCAAATATTAATAAGCAATGATGCAGTTTTGTTATCTCCCCCCCCCCCAGATACAGAAACCTTGCCTTTGGTCCGACAACCTGGATCTGATGGTTTCACCCTGTCATCATCTCCCCTCTTCCAGGTCAGAGTTTCACCATGTTTTATAACCATAGTAAAAACCCAATTTTAAACCAGAATCTTGAGCCTTCCTTCATGTTTGATTCATCAGGTTGCTGCTGGCCGTGAATGGTTCATCCATGCCATCTACACACTCCGTTCTAGAGAGAACGCCAGCCGCGGTAAACGAAGCCTTGAGTACCACCACGCTATATCCTCCATTGCTGACTCTGGCACCAAATCCCGAAGTCGACGTGCAGTGCCTGACCCAGAAGCTTTCGAGATTGGTGCTGAGAATAACCGAGGCACCAACATTCAGCACATCGCCCTGGATCGCTCAAACAGACTCCGAGTGAGTCAGCCATGGGGTCGTGAGAACTACTTGGAGCACCCTCTGGTGGAGGGGAGCCTGGGTAAGGGGCCTGGTTCAGATTCCTCTCTTCCCACTGGCATGTCCACATTGCTGGGGGTGGCTGGGCTCATCTTGCTGGTATGCCTGGTTGTAGTTCTGGTGGTTCTCTTGATGCGACGCAAGAGGAAAGAGAAAAAGTACCCACCTTATTCCACTTCGTCCTGCACAGCGTACAACGGGGAGCCCATGAGACACAATGTGGACAGCTCTGAGGTTTAAACCACCCCTGTTCATTAAGACATGCCAAAACTGACTCACCATGGTGCTCTTCTTCCCAAGAAGCAGCTGAAGTCGAGGAGGCAGAAAGATTCTGAGATATAAAGCCTCAGTTTGAAATTTCAACATCCAAATATAGCGCTCCACAGCTTCAATGAAGATATCTTGACTCCAAGACTCTTAATTTTACTTGGTCAAACAAAAGGAAGTTGCTTGTTGCCTTTCTCTTAAGATTATGTTTGAGCTTCGTAGTACTAATGTTATTTTAGCATGCTTCCATCGGTAGATCTGTGAACCAGAATTGGCCACAGTGAACCTGCTCAGACAAACAGAGCGAATCTGTGCTTCAGCTTGTGACAAACTCTTAATATCTGCAAATGTAACAAGCATTGCTCCATTATGGATAAATTAACTTATTTTTTTCCCCCAAGTTCAAAAAAGTTCCACTGTAAATAAAAATAAGGTAAATTCACCTTGGCATGAATGCATATGCTGGGCATCAAAAGCCTCATTTAGTTACCTTGGCAATTTGAACTTGTTCAAGATCATTGGGCATTTTTTTTTTAATTAGTCGATTTTATTTTCTTTCAATACGTAACAGTTCTTCTTCGGAGTGTGTGTGTTAAGATTTGTTAAGCAAATTGAAAGATGCAAGAACTGGCTTCTTCAAACGTTTATGAAATAAATGTATCTATTTTTATGTGTTCCATGACATGAAATGCTGTGTACAAGAGCACAGGTCAGCGTTCTTACATGACCGATGTGTTGCTATGCAAAAGGAGCGTTAAGTTTAAAAATATTAACTCAAGTTCGTAACTATTCAGAATGTACTTATTTTTATACCTTTTCAGGACGTTAAAATGTGGTTCAGAATCACACATTAATTCTGTTTGTACACAGCTGCCTGTTACATATCTGGTGTTAAAAGGAGAGGTGTCAACAAAAGGTGATAAAATACACCCTGTTAAAACTTGAAAACGTTTGAGCCACATGTACTTTTTTCATTTAAAATAATCATTACAGATTTACAAAATTAAAGCAAACAATGTTTAATATGCTTATTATAATCTCACACAGTTGCTTGCATTTGAGTTTGTTTTAATTTTGAGGCTTCTCAATTTTTGAGAATTATTTAATGTCATTTTCTTTTTTTGCTGATGAAAAAAATTCTGTGAAGATACTTGGATACTTGTCTCATTATAAAGTGTCTGTTAAGTGTTTAAAAGATAAATGCCTACTTCTATAACCTGATTAGTTGAATTTCTATCATTCAACTGACATAAGATCCATCAAATGTGCATGATCTGTAAGATGTTCCAGTATGTTCCTAGACAGTAAAAAAAAAATCAAGTTCAAACAAACTGCTTTGGTAAATGAGCTGTTGTTGCAGTTGCGGCTCACTTACATGCACAGATATCTATCAGGACACCATTTATGATTTAATATGAACCCATAATGTTCTATGCAATTGAAATTGCAGTTCTGAAAACGGTTTACAATCATCACAAATTACATTAGTTACAATGTCAGCAGTAATCTCCTTAAGTATTATTTTTTTATTGAGTTTATTTTAAAATGTACATTTCTTTCAGATTCATTAAAAAAGATATAAAGCATCAGGGTCTGAGGACTTAAAGGTCCCATGACATGCTGCTTTTTGGATGCTTTTATATAGGCCTAAGTGGTCCCTAGTACTGTATCTGAAGTCTCTTTCCCGAAATTCAGCCTTGGTGCAGAATTTCAGCCACTACGAGCCAGTCCCACAATGAGCTTTCCTTAGGACGTGCCATTTCTGTGTCTGTAGCTTTAAATGCTAATGAGGAGGAGAGAGGCGGGGCAACTGAGAAGGGAAACAATATAGGCACAGCTTTGAATCAGAAGACATGCTTGAAAAGCCAGTATCGATATATACAGCAGAAGCCACCAATGGTGTTGAAACACAGCAACAGTGTCTTCTTGGCTTAAGAATGGTAGTTAGTAGAGCTATTTTTATTTTACACACACACAGTAAAGTTCTATGCTGATGTATTCTGAACAGATGTATTCTGACATGAGCTGAAATCACTGAATGGATCATATTTACAACATTCAAAAAAAGCTGCAATGGTAATTAGTCTCCAAGAGCTGTGGAACTCCATCTGAAATAAATTATCGAAGTTGCAATAAAATGCATTGATAGACCAGTCACACAGAGAATGAAGAAACAATAAAATTCCTGAAACTACTTGACTGGCTTTTCCGCCCCTCCATGAAGGCATCTCATACAGCACACAGCCTTTGTAATAACATCTTGCGTCGTAAGCAATTTTAAAAGGTTTCTATGAGAACATATAATTTGCAACACTAAAGACGTCATCTATAGCTGCAAAATAAAATAAAATAAATGAAATCTGTTAAACCTTTCAGTGAGTACCTGACCTCTGCGCTTTGTAAATTGATACCTTGCTTTGAATAAAAATAAAAGAGGATAAAACCAAAAACATAAAACACACAAAAAACGGAGAAATCTCTTCTCTGTTAAAAACGATCACAGTTCCTGATTCCATCAATGACATTTCATAGCTTCTGATACCATCTCAGACCGTGTAGACTTCTATCCTGCAGAATCCACACCTTAGCCTTAATATACTAGATATTAGATACAAATAAAGGACACTTTTATTCACGTACATAACACTTTATACAGTCTGTCTGCTGTCTTAAATGCAAATGCAAACGATAATCATTTTCAAACAAACCAACCTTAGTAGATTTGCGGCTCAAGCCACTCAAAACCTTTTGATTGCACTACCGAATTATTGAGGCTCAAAATGATAAAACAGTAAAAAAAAAAAATAATAAAAAAAAAGAAACCTAGATGTGTAAAGGTTTCAGATTATCATGGAACTATAAAAAAGAAAAAGAAAAAAAAAATTGTAGGCTTCTAAAACACATCCTAAAAACTCACCTTGGCAGTTTTGTGAACATGGAACATTGTTTACAAAAAAAAAAAAAAAAAAAAAATTTTTTGGGCAAAATGCTTTTTTTTTTTTTTTTTAATTGTTTAAAAAAAAAAAAAAAAAGCCCTTGAGGACACAAATTCAACAGACCTGATGCACCCCAGCCCATGGAATAATGTGCTTTATCACCACGATGTGGGAAAGACAATATAAAAAAATCTGAAACTGTCTGAGTTGATGAGTGGGGGGGCAGTGTGTATCCATGTAGTATGAATAATGCTGCTCTGTTAGCGTATTTTTCACTAGGCTTTCAGCCAAAAAGGCTCGGCGAGTCCTTCAGCCCCTGTGTGCAGAGTGCGGTCCATCCTACCTGGAGTCTGTCCGCTTATACATGAGGATCCCTCGGATCAGCTCTCCCCTGCGCGGGTGCTGTCGTCTAGCAGGAAGCAGTGTAAACTAGCTGATCTGGGAGCTGTGACCTAGGTGCTGTCACACAGCTGTATCTAAAATCAAACGTGGAGGCCGGATAGGAGGTTCAGAGCATATGCAGCGTCCTCCGTTCCTCGGCCCCTGCGAGTCATGACCTTGCAGAAAAGAGGAAAGAGATGGGTGTCATTTGGCCCCTTTGATGGGGGGATCTTGCTCCGTCGACTGCCGTTCGTCACTCCAGGCCTCACGTGTGCTCTTCAGTGCTTGCGTTCGGTGCTGATCCACCACCACATAGTCTACCCGCTCGTCTGATGCTGAAATACCAGTCCCATTACTCTTCTTCTGCAAGGCCAAGATATGACAGACAGTCAAAACAGGAGACAGAGACACCAAAAGTACCAGTATTTGGGTACCAATTTGATACTTAAAAAACTGCAACAACACTTTTCTAGTATTGGTGTATAAAACAGACTTTTCAAAAATGTTTATAATGAATAATGAAAAAGAATGTTTCCTTTAGGGAGGCACAATGTATCGGTAAAATATCGGTTTTCAGATGATATTATAAATGTAATTAATTATGCATGCTAAATTACCCCGTTTTTACATTTAAATTACTTTTGCTGTCATGTTACACTTATATGAAGCTAATCTGTAAAAATGCTAATAATTTATTAACATGTAATGTTTAGAAAATGTTGCGACTCCTAAATTCACTTGCAGCATTAAAACTATTGCTTTCATTTATTAGTATTTTACTTTGACATATGTATTATATTTAATTTTATTTTTAAAATCTGTATTATAAGTAGGGCTGAGCAATATGGCCAAAAAATGATCACAATACTTTTTTTTTTATATCAGTTGATATTGATAAGTATCACGATAAATGTCAAATCTATATTTCTTTCAAGTTTAAAGGCAGATTTTTTTCTGAGCGAAAGTTGTAACCAGACAGTTAGTAGTGGTGCGAACGTGAACATTTCACAAATCTAAATCTATTCAAAACATTTATAATAATAAATTATTATTCAGTATTTTTCCATAACAAAATATCTTAATAGAGAAACTAATTTCTTAGTTTCTGCATGTTCTAACAGGTGATATTGTTTCAAACCAAGAAACAGGCTCCCTGTCCCTGTGCTCCCTGACCTTAATGGCACGCTGCATGTAAATGACCATTAAATCCCCCAATCATTGAAGTGGGTCGACACCTTTACTTCCAGCCATAGAGGGCAGTGTTGCCATGGAATAGTCAAGAAAGGACTTAAAGGGGTCATATGATGCGATTTCAATTTTTCCTTTCTCTTTGGAGTGTTAAAAGCTCTTGGTGCATAAAGAAGATCTGTAAAGTTGCAAACACTAAAGTCTCAAAACCAAAGAGATATTCTTTATAAAAGTTAAGAGTTAACCACGCCTACCTAAAACGGCTCGTTCTAACACGCCCCCACATACCTACGTCACGATCTTGAGACTGATCAGCTAGTAACGCATCTCCTCGTGATGCGCTTCTGTTTGAGTCAAACTGCGCCGTTAACGATGATTCGTTTCACTTTTGGCACATAAACTTTATATCGAACATTCATCTAACATGTGTTACTGTTCTATTGAATGATTAAATATATATATAATGTATATAAAATTAATACTATTTGTGAATATTAATATTTAACTTATTAAATAAAGGAATATGGGTAATTCCATTATTTAAAAAGCCAGTAATTAAAAGACAGTGATAATAATTTGGTAACAGAAGTAATGTTTCAGTATCTCAGAAACAGCTGACCAGGAATTGAAACAGCTGCCATTAACTACAGTCTCCTGTCTGCGAACAATGATGGGAAAAACAATAATCCTCAACTGATGTATAGACAAAATGCACTGTTTATAAGAGAGCCAAAAAACAACTATATTCCATCAAGCTGAGAGAGAAGCAGATTTCAATCCTGCTAATTAATGGCAAAAAAAGCTATAGCAGACATATAATCATAGAGCCTGAGGATAAGAATACTACACCAATTTGTCTAATTCTGCTTAATTATTAGTCATATCTTACCTTCCGAGGAGGAGTCGATTTCCCAGGGTCCAAGTCGAGGTCCAGGTACTCCACCTGCTTGTCTCCTTTGGGCTTTACCATGGGACTGCCACCTCCATCAGCATTCATAGGTGCTCCTAGCTTCATGTTCTGAGATATATATTTAAAAAAAAGGTTGAATACAAATAGCTAAGTCAGTGGTCAATGTTGTAGTCAGAATTAGTTATTAAAAGATATATTAATCTACTACAATGATACTAGATGATGTAAGTGAAGAGTCTGATTTTTTTAAATACCTAATCTATTCTACCTATCTATCAGTGACATGCCGTCGTTCACCCAACACTCATTCGAATGATTAAATCGGTAATGAGTTGTGTACACATTGTGTCAGCAAAATAGGCAGAAATCTTTCTAGTCTTTCTAAACTCTTTCAAATTAATCAGAGAGCTTCATAATTCATAATGATCAAATGTAAGTAATTAAAAATAATGCTCTATTAGTTCGAGAGGATTCTGCTACCCCTGCAGATGTCAATCCAACATCTACAAGTGTCATTTTCAAGATTATTTCCATGCATTTTCATAGTATGAGTCAAAATATAATAATTATGCATTGCATAAATGTAGTTTTTCTATACGTGTTTCAAAATATATCAAGCCTTATTTCATACTGCATTGTTTAGTAACTCAATACAAATCCAATCATCAAGTGACTGTCTGGGGAACAACACTACAATGTAATGCATAATGTATACAATTGATTAAAAACAACTTATGTATAGCTATGATTATCATCTTTGAAAAATCTGGACTGGACATATACTGTATGCAAGACCTCTTGAAACTGCAAGTAATTTAAGTTCCACTCATGTTGAAATAAACAGGATTTTAATTTATTTATTTTGTTTTTTACAAGAAAAAAAAAAACCTCTGTCTAATGACACACATTAATTTTTGTAATGTTTAAAAGTTTGGGGTGTTTTTTAACGTCTCTTATGCTCACCAAGGTTGCATTTATTTGATCAAAAATACCATAAAAATAGTAATATTGGAAAACATTACAACAACGTTATTTATGCAAACAATGAAACACTATTTATAAACACCTATGATTTCTATTTCATGACAATTCTGTCATCATTTACTCACCCTCAAATTGCTCCAAACCTGTATGAATTTTGTTCTTTTGCTGAACACAAAAGAAAGATATTTTGAAGAATGCATGTAACCAAACAGCTAATGGTGCCCATTGACTTCCATAATATGTTTAGATATTCCATAGGGTGAGTAAAAGATGGCAAAATTTTCATTTCTGGGTGAACTATCCCTTTAAAACACACATCCAGAGTGGAGTTCAGTCCACCTCACCTCATCCAGGTTTTCTAGACCTGACACTTCTCTCTTTATAGGAGTGATGGGAACGGTGCAGTAGAAGGACTCTTCTCTACAGAATGGAGGAACAGGGAGGACAGGAGGAGTAGAAAAATCAAAGAGTAAACCGGAAACAAATGGCAAAGGCCAGCAGAAAAAATAGAAATGAAAATGCAAAATACAGACGAGGCAGACAAGAGGATCCACAAAAGAAAGCAAGGAACAGAATGTAGGAAATAAGAAACAGAAAAGAGGCAGAGAAATGTCTCTCCCAAGTATTGGCATTTGAATCCAGTTAAAAAAAAGCCACACTGTGCAGTGTTATCAATAACTTTACTGCTGGCATGCTAAAATGTTAACTAACAAAACAAGCCATGCACGAAAAGCTACATATATAAAGAAAATGGTGCATTTAAATTTAAGAAAAACATTAATAAACGCAAACATGGAACAACAAAGATGAAAGGCCCTTCAGGTGAAACCAAGGAAAAAATAAATAAAAAAAGAAATGGAAGAAAGATGCAACAGAAATAGAAGAAAACCTGGAGAAAAAAAAGAAAAGTAAAGGTAGGAAAAGCAGCGAGGGGTCCTTCTATCCAGTGTGTTGACTGACCACAAAATACCATCAGATTTCTGGGAACCTGTAATTTAATTTTCAACCTAGCCTTTATGCCAAATTATGCCTTAAAAAAAAATTTTTTTTAAATGAATAGATTAAATATATACGATGTGTCAGAACAAAGACAGAATGTTTATTTTAAAATCAAATCTGCAGAAAAGAATATGGAAGAAAACGAATAACTAATAACTTTAAAAAGTTGAATTAAAAGGATGAATTTTAGTCGAGACGAGGCTTTAACGTTGTTAAAAAAATATCTCTTTCAGTGAACTTTCTATTCATCATAGAATATTAGGCAGCACAACTGTTAACATAGATAATAATAAGCAATGTTTCTTGAGCACCGAATCAGCATATTAGAATGATTTCTGAAGGATCATGTGACACTCAAGATAACAATGTTAACAAATAACATTTTAAAATTTGTGACCATGGACCACAAAACTAGTCATAACGGTCAATTTTTCGAAATTGAGATTTATACATCATCTGAAAGCTGAATAAATAAGCTTTCCACTGATGTATGTGGTTTGTTATGGTAGGACAATATTTGGCTGAGATACAACTATTTGAAAATATGGAATCTGAGGGTGCAAAAAAATCTAAATATTGAGAAAATCACCTTTAAAGTTGTCCAAATGAAGTTCTTAGCAATGCATATTACTAATCAAAAATTAAGTTTTGATATATTTACAGTAGGAAATTTACAAAATATCTTCATGGAACATGATCTTTACTTAATATCCTAATTATTTTTTGGGTATAAAAGAAAAATCAATAATTTTGACCCATACAATGCATTTTTGGCTATTGCTACAAATTTACCCCAGCGACTTAAGACTGGTTTTGTGGTCCAGGGTCACATATATTTAAAAAACAGTTATTTTAAATTGCAACAATATTTCACATTATTTCTGTATTACTGTATGTATATACTGTAATACTGTATATTTACTGTATTTTTAAATGCAAACAAATGCAGCCTTGATAAGCATAAGAGACATCTTTCAAAACCATTTAAAAAAATCTTACAAACTTCAAACTTTCAGCTGTTAATGTATGTGCATATAAATTACTTCTGTAATTTACATATTAAAAAAAAAAAATCTTTATATACATATATACACAAACTGAATATATTCCCTGAATGCACTAATTATTTATAACTGAGTGGAACAGTTGCTGTGGTGTTTTTTTTTTTTACATACTGGTTCATCTGTAGACATATTAGCGTGTTGCATGGTTACATAATTGTCATCACAGTCGTCGGAGTCGCTGCTGGAGGCAGTGCTATGCCCCGAGGATGGTCTGGGGGCCGTGGTACACCTAGAAGGGCTGAGGAGCAGGACAACATTTACACTGACGCTCACTCACTCACACACACACACACACACACACACAAAGAACAGCAACACAAACTCTCGCTGTCTGGATTAATGCAAGGTCTGAGCTGGATGTCTTTGGCTGATAATGTGGAACCCAAAACACACTGGCAGTCAAAAAGACCTTCAGTGGCATTGATTCACACACACTTTAAGCGTTCCAGACACATGAACCTCATGGCACCTACATCAATGTATTAAATCAATAAATAATTCAAGAATACAATTCATGCCTTTATTGGACTGTCATCACCACCACTTTTGTTATTATGTGATGTTAGTTAGTGATGACAGCCGCATCACTTATGAACATAAATTATGTTTTACTATCATTTTACTATCATCACTACCATTTTACTATTATGGGACGTTAGGACAAGACTACAGGAATGCATGAATGATTAGTTATTTAGCCTGTGGTGTCTGTTGTGTTGAGGCCATGCAGAATCATGCTTAAATACTGATCTGTTTCAGAGGAAACATGCCCAACACTTACTCCCTCGTGAAGGACCTGGTCACGGGGGAACGGACCGGCGCCGTATACTCCTCCCACTCAGCTAGAGGCTTGATCTCCAAAGGGGCCGGCTTAACTGCAAAAAAAATAAATAAATAAAAATAAATCCATCAGTTTAATGCAGAAAAATGTTCCAAATGTTCCAGATCAGTATCACCCAAAGGTTTGGCCTAATACATGGTTATTATCAACAAGATAAATAATATTACAAAATAATTAATAAATTACAATAAAATTGAGTGAACAAATTTGTGTGTACAAAGCCAAACAAAATTGTGTGTAAATTATTCATAGAAACATTTTTACATAAACTGTTGGAAGGAATTCAATGGGACAATTTGCTAATAAAGATTTACAAATATTTACACACAAATTTGCATGTAATTTAGATGGTGGTTCTCTACTTTTAGCCAGTAGAGGGCGATGTCTGCTATTTAGTACATAATTGGAGTCAGAAGTAACTAAGTCACCTTTCTTCAGTGGGACAAGCATGTTTCACTTCATTTTTTCCCACTTAACAACAGACTTAAATCCAATACAGGACCGAGTCACGAGAAATGAAATAACACCTGAGGGAAAACTGGAAAGGTTGAAAAGAAGGCCACTGCCAAAGGAAGGTCAAAAACGAGTGATAATCATACATATCCTCTTCACTTCCCCTTCTCACATATACGCAGCATCTGATTTAGTTCATTCAGCTGGCCCAAAACTCTGCTGAGCTGAGATACACCCAATCTGGCAACAGAGGAATAGCTGTAGCTGGCTGAAACGCACACCAGCTGGTGCCAGTGTGTGAGGGAAGAAAGCACAGACTGATATGCATCTCAAGGCCCTGAACTTGTGTGTGTGTGTATATATATATATATATATATATATATCGAGTGATATTGCTCAAATATACATATACACACACATCACAAAATGTATGATTTTATTTTTGATGTTTCAAATTTTTTTTTTTCTAGCCATCTTTGTACTGCTCTGATAGCATATCATTTAGCATTTCATCAGCAGTGAATGGGTGCCCTCAGAAGTCCAAAGAGTTGATAAACCCACTTGTGATGTTTTCACTGCAGACAATCCATTGGTGTGCAAGTTATGTAATGCTACATTTCTCCAAATCTGTTCCCATGAAAAAACAAAGTCATATACACCTTGGATGGCCTGAAGGTGAGTACATTTTAAGCACAATTTCATTTTAGGGTGAACTATTCCTTTAAGCCTTATTATTATTATTTAGTATATTCGGTATTCAGACACCCTGATGGCAGATACAGTACCGTTCAACAGTTTGTGGTCAGTAAGACATTTTTTTGTTGTTGTTGTTGTTTTTTAACACTGGAGTAACGGCTGCTGTAAATCATCCATCAAAGGAATAAATGACATCTTAAAATGTGTTAAAATAGAAAACAGTTATTTGGAATACTAATAGTTTTTCACAATTTTACTGTTTTTACTGTGTTTTTGATCAAAAAAAAAAATGCAGCCTTGGTGATAATAAGAGAATTTCAAAAACATTAAAAAAAACCTTAACAACCCCAAACTTTTGAAGAGCAGTCTATCTTTGAAGCTCCCGAGATTTTATCCAGACACCTGGATTGCTCTTCACACCGTTAGTCATAATACGATTCATCCGCCCACTTTCAGCTCTCATCAATATGACTCAAAAATGCTTATGCAAATGTGTTGGTTAAGTGTTTATAATGTTTATGACTCGTGGGTCAGTGAGCAGTATGACAGTCAAAGGTGTTTGTAGAGACACTGATGATTGAGTGTCAAATGTTAATCAATTAGTTTTACCTGCGATATCAAGTCTGTTAGCTTCCCTCCATCAGTTAAGCACAAGCATCACTCTACCAGAACCTTAAAACCTCATCTATCAAAACTATCAAATTCATTTGCTTAATAACCAGCTGAGCAATTTAAGTAATAAATCCAACAGCCTTCACAGGGACCGCAATCTGTGCACACAACAGACAATGCAACGGATAGGCAACAGCATCAGTGACTTAATTATAAAATATTTGAGTGGAAAGCCAAGTTCCTCCACACACTGCAGGTAGTGAATGTTTGTATGATAGGCTACATTCACACAGTCAGTGTTTGGGACTGGAAACCATATTTACAATGAATGGTGTCAAAGTAGCTTGAATACTCTCTCTGTATGAAAGAATAAGCAAAGTCAAGCCCCCTATTCTATGAAGGTGTAAATAATGCCTGTAACCAGAGTAACAGTTACTTACATAAATGTTGAGTAATATATATGATTATAAGTCCAGAACATTTAAGGAGGTGTATTTGAGTATAAAATGTGGTTGTCACTTTCATTTATAACATATGTGTAAAAAGAACTACATTGAGCACTCTAAAATATGAGTACCAGGAATACACTGATATAACCGTTTTCATGTTATGGCCGATAACCAATAAATGGCTGATATTAATAGTATTGAAAATTTGCATCAATATATATTTTGTCTAATTAAATTATAAATGTGCAATATTTAAAAAATTATAGTTTGATAAATAAATTATAATAAATAATAATTATTTTATATTTTATCCAAATAAATTCTAAAATTTAAACTTACAAAAAGGTCCCTAGTTAGAACCATATTTTTCTGCTGCGAGAAAATAGCCAAATTATCAGTTTGTAAGTCACTTATATCATGGTCTTGACAGCTGTGAATAAAAAATGCAGTGAGGGCCAGTTTTTTGATTAAATTTGATTTGTTCTATTACTGTATTCAATGTGTCATTCACAATTAGAGCTTATTGAAATTACACCTCAGAACTGAGGAGGTACACAGTGAGAGTAGCATTCTGTCGAGGTACGTACCCTTACGCCGTCTTGAGAATTCACCTATGGTTTGGGAGTCGGTTCGCTCAAGACCGACTGCTCTGTTTATTTTAGGGCTCTGACCTGAATTGGTGAGAGAAAACTTCTTTGTTACATGTCTCCTTTCAAAGAATCGGCCTGGTCTGCTTCTAAACTTCACACCCATGCAATTTAGCACAATCACGGCCACCTCCATCACTCGTGCCTCTTCTCTTTCGCTGAACAGATATGTGTTGGGCTGCTGCCATGGCAACAACTCTTCATGCATTTAAGACATGCGATGAACAAGGTTTCCCCACAAAGACGAGACATGCACAGGGTTAAACAGACACACGTGGGTGAGTAAAGCATAAACACCAACCGACGACACGCCAGCATGTGGCTCAGCCAGACAGAAGGGTTCAGTAATGTCTATGTAATATTAGAAAAATTAAACCAACATATTTTTTCTGCTATATGCATATAGCTGCCACAAGAAAATACCACAAGTCAACAGTAATGATGGCCACAATTAAACAACAGGCCAAAAGAGCAGAATATCACAATGATTTCTAAGACTGAAGGAGATGTGAGTGTTCAGGTTAAAAGTGTGATACAGGAAGAGATAGAAACCAGACAGAACAGAAACTAATATTTAAACCTATATAGAGTAGCCACTAAAAAGATAGAGAGAGGACAAACACACTAAGACACAACAAGTACCCAACAACTGCCTTTAAAATGCCACCAAAGCTGTTTGAATCACACCATGTTCAGAAAAAGCTTGCAAATACACAACAAATACAATAAGCTGTGGTCTGAAGAGCAGTAGAGATGACACTGGACATTTGAGAATGACATGAAAACAGTGAGTATTGTGCTTGGCCCATGTTTAGAAAATAGAAAAATTTTAGAGAAGACCTATTTCATTACTCTACATGCACTACCTGGCCAATAAGCTGTATGTAAACTTGGCCAATAAGTAAACTTTGCCAATAAAATGTATGTGGCAGAGTATGGTCTGATTGACTGAGCCAATCTTCGGAGCTAATTATTGAGTCACATGACTTTGATGCACATCAAGCTATTTATTTCTTTATTTATTATGTTGTATTGTTATTTTGTTTTTGTTTATTATTTTGCTATATATATATATATATATATATAGGAAATTTAATTAGCACCTTGGTGTTTCCATCCAGCTTTTGGATGCAATATCTCATAACTCAATTTTTCTACTAAAAATATTTGTCTAAGAGTCATTGCTGCTTGATTTCATGCACTTGCTAGTCATGGGTGTCACTGAAATCTCCAAACCTGTTAATTACACAGTGTTTTCACATAGTTATGGCCAAGTGGTGCATCTCCTCTGCATGTAACTTGCTGTCTCTTGCATTAGCCGGTGCTCGGAAACAGTAACACGTAATTGAAGATACACAATGGTTTCGGATGAGCGCAGAGAGCTGCTGCCATTAATGTTTAGATCAATAGTGCTTTCCCAGCTCGCTGCTGATGTTTCGGCCCGCTTGTGCAACTTTCAGCACGTCCCCTTTTTCTCTCAGACCAGATTGAAATTCCCCTCGCCGGTCTGCGCCATCAAAGAGATCTTTCACTAAGGCACAATGGGGACAGAGGTGACCGCTCCAGGCTAACGACGCAGACAGGCTCCCTCATACCCAGGGCTCAGAGTCTGTAGACAATAGCTTCTTTTATTTGTGAGGTCACATGCTAATGATTAAAACGCAAAGGTCATTGAAACAGCAGATGTGTAATGCAAGTTATGATTGCATGGCAATGAGCAGCCTGAGAACTGATCAAAAGTTGAAATTAAACCTCTTTTTATAAGCATGGGCCGGCACCTGTTAGTGAGAAAGGTGGTAATGAGAGTTGCTATGCCGAAGAGATGCAAGCACTGTACACATTAACACAACTCCTCCTCACTTATATCACACACACATACACCACAAAAGAAACAAACCTCAGGGCTCACCTTTACGGTCAGGTTTGAGGTTGCGGTCTACGGGTGGCGGTTGGCATTCAGGCATGTGCACCGGTCTACGTGGTGGGGTCTTGGGGCTGGAGCGGAAGCCCATGTGAGCTGGAGGAGGCACCTGTTTTCCGAGGGAGGAGAACTCCACTGTGCCCGGTGTCATGGGCACATAGTTGGGCTCCTGGATGGGTTCTGACAGGCTGCTGGAGCGCTGATGTGAGGAAGAGTGGACGCTCATGGGCACATAGTTCTCATCCATCTCCTCAGTGGAAACACCTCCTACTGGCACCATACCTTTATTCTTCTACATGCATCCAAGAGCAGAGAAGAAACTGTTAGGGATACACTTGAAAGACAGGACCAAGTTTTAAAATAGATAAAGATTATTATTATTACGAAAACTTACAAAATAGTTGTTGAAGCTTTCGTTAAAATCAAATGAGCAACTTTTATCTGGGGGGAAGGGACGGGGTATATCATAGCAGTCTTGAGATCCGTAATCTGTGAAACAAATACAAAATAAATGAATGCAGTCAAACGAAAAAAAAAAAAAAGTCACAGAACCACCTCTTATGCTCACCAAGGCTGCATTTATCTTTATTAAAAATATAGTAAAACAGTAATATTGTGAAATGTTTAATAATATTTAAAATAACAGATTTCTATTTTAATACATTTTAAAATGTAATTTATTCCTGTGTTTGCAATGATGAATTTTCAGCAGCCATTACTCCAGTCTTGAGTGTCAAATGACTGTCATGAGAAAGTTCAGAAGAACAGCATTTATTTAAAATAGAAATCTTTTGTAATCTGCATATTTATACTTTCACTTTTCATCAATTTAATGCATCCTTGCGTAATATAAATATATTCTGTCATTTTTTTTACCAATTTATTCCATCCTTGCTGTATAAATGCATTAATTTATTTTATATATATATAAAATATATATATATATATATATATATAGATAGATAGATAGATAGATATAGCTGTGCATTATTATGGAGGCATATGTGAAGAAGGGAGTGTATGTAAACATCTCAATACCACAATTCCACCAAACAACACTAGAGGGACCCACTGATGACTACATGACCCCATTGTTGCAGCACAAACAGCTTGATAGCCTCCAATTAAAATATCCTGAGTGAATGATTTGCCAGAAAATAAGAAAAAGTCAATAAAATCAGGATTTAGACTCAAAATAAAGATGTCCACAGTACAGACATCAGTATCATACTGTACCTGCTCCTGAATGGTAAAAAAACAAACAAACAAACAACAACAAAAACATAACAGTGGGTTACATTTTTGTGCTTTTTAATCATATATTTCAAGCATTCTGGCAAACTGGCAAAAAAAATAAATAAACAAATAAAAATACTAAATTACAAAAACAAATGAATGACTCAATGACTTACTCATTCATTTAAAGACATTTACTGACACCTACTGGCAGTTTTAGTCTATTAATAAAAAAACGAATTAAACTAATTAATATTAATAAAAAAAACTAATTAAAGGGATAGTTCACCCCCCCTGTATTGACTGTATTGAAGACCATCCTTTCCAAGGGCACAATAAAGGCAGTGCAAACGCTGAAGTTCAGATTCTAAACCATTAGGCTACTTAAACTTCTTGAGATTTTGAGCTTGTATTGTTACTGAACTGTTGCTTTCATAATGATGGTGAAATAGCACAGGTGAGATAAGTGATATCCTCCTACCTTTACGCATACGTGAAGAATCCACCGTACTAATGGTGTTGCTCCTTAGTGCTTTGCTCCCTCCTGCACTAGATGGCACGCAGTAATTTCCGTCAGTCTCAGACACCGACCGTGGCACCACATATGTGTCCGTGGGTGAGCGCTCAGGTGGGACTGATCCAGTGGTCAGTAAAGGCTTAGGTGGACGAGGGGGCGGTACCACGTCTGTGGCCCCTGAAACAGCCTCTATCCCAGCTGTACGGGGAACCTGGTAGGTGCAGTTACTTCCAGGTGTTGGTGGAATATCATAGCTAACTGACAAGTTCCGCAACTGGGCCTCTAAAGAGGGTTTACGACCAGGTGTGTTAAAGACATAGAGTTCACCGGGCTCACCGTCAGGAGCCAGAGGGGAGGATGCCGACTTCGGCAGCAGCACAGTGTCCTGAGAGTAACTTCGGGGTAGGTGGTACAGGCCCTGTGAGTCGGCCGACAATGACTGCCCGCGCGGAGGAGGAGAATCATAGACAGCACCATGCTGGCTAGGAAAGAAACCATTGACCGAGGTGTGCTTGAAGGAGGAGGAGGTGGGAGTGTGGTGGGAAGGGAGGTTGTCATTACAGTCGGGTTCGGAGGAGGTAGACTTGGAGCATTCGCCATGGGCCCTGTAAAGAAGCCCATGTATGAGATAAAGATTGTCAGTTAAGTAATTTAAACAAACGACAAAAAATATATTAAAACAAACTTGCTCCTCATCAATACAAAGACAAAAACACCCCTTCAAACACATACCACGCTATATGTGAAATCATGCTGCCTGCAAATAAGTTTTGTCATTATGAAAATCACAATATGAATTAGTCTTTGTATTTTAATTAACTGGCATGTAAAAGATACATGCATGTAAAAGATAATGTATATTCAGTTGGTAGTTATAGTCATTACTGCATAATAATTGAATCCTAATTTGCAATATTGACCAGCCAACTATATTATCCCGCTTATTACACAGAAACTTGGCAATTAAAGATGCATTCAGTAGTTTGGTGCAAAGTTAAAAAGTTTTTCACATTAAGAAATAAATTGTGCTTTTGTGAAGAGCCATCTGTCGTCATTAGTTTTCTATAAAACTGGACGGGAGAAAAGAAGAAAAGGTGTGAAGCCAGAAAGATCGACAAAGAAAAAAAAAATGAGCGTAAACATTGCTATAGCATTGGAAAGATTTAACATTGGAGAAAATGCCGAGTAGTGAAGCCTTGCTTAGTAGTGAAACTTTCTTCCTTTTTTTTTGGAGAGGTAAGGGAATTAATAACTAACTATCTATATACCACTCTCTAAAGGCCCTGGCATACTTTCCGCGTTCCGTTGCCAGGGACAACGGTCAAATATAGTTTAACGATCATTACACAACATTTGATCACAGAAGGCAGCGATTAACCAAATGTTGTAATATATTGTAAAATATAAATGTTGTCAAGTATTCCAGAAAGCTGTGTAATAAGTTTCTTGCTATACAACTAGAACTGGCAAGGTTAGTGCCAAACACAACCATGCATGTCATATTTCACACAAGTCCTGATTCAAACTATGGATACACACTCTTTTAAGCACTGAAGGCAAGAAAACATACCAACCCATTTTAGTCAGTAGAATTAAAGTTGAATACATATTTTAGTAAGTTATTATAATAAGTGTGCAGATTTTCAGGTAAAAAAAAGTAGTATTTGGTTGTCGGCCATATGTGTGTGTGCTGTTTAGTATTGTTTTCTTCACACTGATGCTCTTCACTCACTGACAGTCAGGAGGAGCGCTCCTGCTCTCACACTCCTCCAAAAGCAGGTATTCCTGCTCCTCTCCTAGAGCAAGAGGAGCCACTGGACTACACCACACACACAAATACATACAATGAGACCCATATATGCAGGTCTTCACCCATAGCACCTGAATGTCCTAAAGCGTCTTTGTAGGAGTGGATGGTTTATATAACAGTTGATTTAAAAACAAAAACAAAAAACAGTAACAACAAAATATTGGATGAGCCACATTCTAAAATAGCCAATATGCACATACCCCTCACGTTGTGTGATGCGTTACAAGTCTTACCTGTTAGGCTCTGGTTTCTTGCTCTCACAATTGAGCAGCCAAAGGTAGTCCTGAGGCTCATCCAGACTGGAGGAGGACCCCAAGGGTCTGATGCTGACAGGCTGGTAGGGAGGAGGCAAGTTGGCCAGTGCAGAAGCCCCTAAGGCTCCTCCTGGCCCTCCACTAGGGGCCATATCCACCACCATACCGCCTGGCACATTTACTTGGTGAGAGATCTTTGCAGAGTCTGTAGAAAGAAAAGACAGGAGAGATTAACACTGAGCTTCACACTTTATGAGATCATAAGCTTTGAAATACATTTAAGATCAGATCAAGCTCAGGGCAGCATTGTTTTAATCAAAAGCTTTTACTGAAACCATCCCTGTACAAAACAAATTAGCATTGAGAAAGCCTCTCCGCAGGCTGACTTCTGGTAAGCTAAGTGAAGTGGGGCAAAAAAAGAAGTGTGAACTGATCAAATGAAATTGAGAAAATACAATGTGTGGTTGCAAAATTATCGAAATACTAATATTTAGCACATTTCTATACTAAATATTAGTTAAATTTGTGTACCTTTTTTAATATTTGATCTATCTTTCTATCCATCTATCCATCCATCCATTTATTTTCTTGTAATTATTTCATGCTTAAATCAGTGCCGTTTGTGTTCTGGAATATTTATAGAATATGCAATTTGGAAAATACGGAGAAACGCATCTCATGATAATCATTTATTATAGTTTTATATATATGCCATTAATTATATTTTATATGCCATTAATTGATAATTAGCTTTTAGTTCTATGACCTGCTCGATTTAACTGATTTAATTGGTCTCACTGCAATTATGCACATTTTCCAAACACACCTCCAATGTAAGTGCATTATTATAAATATGTTTTTCCATTGTTTTTAAGGCTAAAAGTTGGCGACAGCAGGCTAGATACTGTCTCCAACCAAGAGTTCAAAGACCCCATGAAATTTCCTTCCTATATTGACGTACTTCCTACTGAAACCTAAATGTTTATGTGCAACATGTTGAAGGGTGTATTCAAGTCATTTCGGCGAGATTGTGTGCATCTAACTCAAGGCCAATTTTTAGGAGTACACTAACATAGATTAGCTTTAAAGCTAATAGATATGGGCTAAAAAAATACAAAACTCCCCTTCCGATTTCATTGGGTCTTTAAGTTTGTATTGTATGGTCACATTACAATAAACTGACTGAAAATGATAGATTGACTGAAGATGAGATTCAAATGGAGAACAGAGATGACCATGTTACTTTGAGGGAGAATTAAATGCTTGTTTTTGTAAAGGGACTGATCAAGGTTAAGGCCGCCATCCTACACAGGCCGTGTGAAAGTGCAGAACTGTGCAGAGAGGAACCCTGAACACAAGACGCTAATGAAAGTGCCACTAATCCATGACGGAGTCTCGGTTTTTATGTGGCAACTAGAATATCTTGTAAAGCTTTTTGTCTATGTTCTTTTAAAAGAGTTTTTCTTTATCTCTGACTTTTTTTATTTTTATTTCCATCTCTCTTTGAGCAGCCTACTCTCAAGGTCAGTGGAGTGCGGCTAACGGGGTGGTTGTGCGTGTTTTTGTTTTAAGTCTCTCTTCAAACTCTGCTTTCAGTTATTCAGTAAAACGCACACAAACACATCACTTGTGCGCACACACATTGACACCCACACACACCCACTCATTCGCTGGGTGCATTTGACTCTCTCTAAGTGCAGGCAGCTCAAGGTCGTCAGGGCCACTGTGTCTCTTTCGGTCTCTTCACTTTTTTGTTTTCCCATTTTCCTCCTTCCCTCATTCTTCTCCCCTCCCCGCTCTTGTTTGTCAGGCTTGCTGCTGAATCATCCAAGCCCTGGAAAATCCCCCTACATATTTGCATTCTCAGTACCCTGTTTAGTATCGGTGGCTAATAATGACAGGCTTCTATGTGTATTCGTAATAGACAAAATGAACAGTTTGAAACTAACTGTTTGGTCCTTTTCTTGATATGATGCATTATCAATACAGCCAAAAAAGCGAAAGAGAATGTGTCCCACATTTTCAAATACATAAACATTTAACATTAAAGTAGAAAAATATAGAGTTGTGTCACAATACCAAATTCAGCAGCAATACTCATATCAGACTTCATTCTAGAAACTATGAATATACTACTAAATACACTTTACTGAAACTGGAACAAAGTTGAAATTTAAAAAGCTTGGGGGTCCTATAACTTTGGCCAATTACCGCAGACGCTTTGATCATGAATATTAATCGTTATGTGATGTTTTTCCAGAAGGCTTAACTTTCTGGCTAATCAGCTGTGAAGTTAAGAGGTTATTTCTGGTCTCTTCTCGACTGTGTCTATCCTATACAGTAGGGTTGTGACGGTGAGGAAATTTTCCCACCGGTTAATCGACGTGTGACAACACCGGTAATACCGGTATCACCGTTGGGGTGGGGGTGTTAGTTCGTTTGAGTTTCCCTCTTTTCTTCGCTTTCAAATGGCTTGTAAAAGTGCCGTGCGCATTTTACTTTCACTTTCAAATTAGCGCAATTGAATTGCCGCAATTCGGCGTCAAGCAATTGTTCGTTTGAGTTTTCCCTCTTTTCCTCGGATTTCTTGGCTTTCAAATAGCTTGAAAAAGCACAGTGCGCATTTTACTTTCGCTTTCAAATTAGCGGCAATTCGGCGTTGATTCAATTCAAGCAACAACAACGTCAAACTCATAGGTATGTTTTATATGTTTTATTAACAAAACGAATAAAAATACACCATATATGCCTAATAATAATAAATCAAAACGATGGTGGGAAGCGGTGCCGCGGTAGGCAAATGACGTAACCGGTGTTGCGGCTTAACATCGGTATAACCGAAAACACTATCACAGCAAGCCTACTATACAGTAGCAAAAGTTCACAAAACGGTGAAGGCCAGATGTATAACCACAAACATTTTCCTAAGCTGTAGCTCAAACATACACTTCCTCATTAAAAACCAACATAAGCATCATTTACCACAACAGTATTCACAAGCTTCAGGACTTCACATCACTTTTAAAGAAGGTCACAGTGAGCTGACAGCATCTGAGATCAATACAGCTGAGCTGATGGAGACCCTGAGGTGCCACAATTAGTCAACCTTAAGGGGACACGTTGGGCTTTCGCACTCCAATCTCGTATCTGGATTACAGTGAATGACCATCATGTCTGCAAGGCCCGGGAGTGCAAGAATCCAAGCATAGATTTGTCAATAAAAGACATCTCTTGAAAACATTTATCATCTCATTATTTGGAAATGAAATTGGATTTCTTTCCCATCAAATATCTTCCTCAAAAGTACTAAAGAATTGTTTAATGAAACCTTTTGAAATCGTAATCATTAAATGCTTTCGTGTGTTTGCATGTGGCATTATTTACCTTCCGAATCGGTGGGGTTGAAGCCACAGATATCACAGATGCAGCGCACCCACTTGTTCATTTCCTCTTCAGTGTCTGCCACCAGGTAAAAGATCCGGTCGATAGTCTTGATGTCAAAGATGAAGCTGTGCTCCAGGTCCTTCTTGTTGAATGTGAGACCGGCGTCCACCTGCTCGCACAGGTTCAGATCGATCACGCGGATGGGCTTCTTTGCATGGTCATTCTTGTAATACTCCAGCACGTCTGGGTCTCCTGACAGCCTCCCACTGCGCAGAACAAACCATCGCTTCTTCCATGCCTGAAAGGAGAGAGGAGAACCATTTGATTTAAGTTGCATGTACTACAACACATTCAAAGAGTCACATGACTAATGAAAAAGTCACTTATTGAATGATTCTCCTGACCAATTTTGCTACGTTCCACTGAGTCAAGTCAGTTCCGTTGACCGCCATCTTGACAAAGTTTTGGATAAAAGAGTCTGCTAAATGTATGAATGTAAATCAAAAAGGAAATAAAAGGCCATTTTAACTTAAAGGCAAGACTTCCATTTTTACAGCAGCCGTAATGACCATTGCAATTTCTCCCACTCTTTTTTTATAGGAGTGGTCCTCCTACTATCTCCACTTGTATCAAACAAATCTACTGGATGGAGTTTAGACTGAACTTACAACATGTCCACAGCCTATGAATAGTTCATCAGACTGGTCTTTCTGGAATAATCAGTCTGTTATGTAATATTATTACATGAGAACAGTACCAAATTAACACTGACTAACTGCAGGAAAAGCACTGTAATAATAAACTACTAGTTAATAGTGAGAACTGGTCCCTAAACTAAAGTGTTACCTTAGTTATTAATACAATATCAATACAGTATAATTCAAAAATTATTTGAATAGTGTCAGAATGAGTACTTAATTAGTTGGTTACTTGTGCACAGCCCTAGTAGTACAACTAGTAGATATACAATATAAGACCTAAATACAGCTAATATGTTACAAGAAGTAGTTCCAACTGTTTGCTTAGACATGCCCTTAAACTCCAACAGACCACTCTGTCTTAAACAAGATTAGGAAATTAACCCTGAGGAAAAGATCACAGGCTTCTGTCATTAAACCGCCAGACTGCCAGGAATCTCAATCTGTGTTGTTGTTTATTTTTTACCATCAGGTGTGGAGGGGATTTACAATGCTGTACTTTACCCCCTCTGACCCCCTCTCAGCTGTTTTTCCATCCACAGGGTTCTCTTTGTTAGAGAGCCAAGCTCTGGCCCTCTGGATATCACCCCACTGCATGGCAACACAAGAGGCAACAGCCCCGCCATGCCAAACCAAACACACACACAACATGACACTCAACATCTGATCAGCATGACAGACCTAATTGTGTGCTGTGACCTAAATTACCCAGTGAAGTATCATCCAAGCATCATATCTCCCATATTAAGTTTGGAAAGCTCAACAGTCTCAGACTGAACATTTCACTCTGCTGAATATTTTAATTGCAATATAAACTCAAAAATAAATGATAAGAGGTAAAAGCACATCAGATGGAGTGTGACAGGAAAAGTCCTACAATTAACAGCATTAGCTTTGTTCCTCTACTACGGTTAAAACAACACAGAGGTCTCGTAGGTTCTACCCGCCGCTTCAAAACAAAGCATTCGAAGCTCATATTACACAGATAGTGTGTGCATGTGTATGTTTACTGGCAGGAGAGAGCCCCGGCTAACCTGTCACACGGATCAGCTTCCGTGAGTACAACGACACAGACAGAACAAAAAGATCCTGCAGAGAACTGCTTCAGTGAACCGTGAACATTCAGGAGAACTCACGTCAAACAAGAAGAATGCTGATAAGTTTAAATCAATAAAATGGTAGGGGAAAATTTAATAAACCAATAAAATACTATTTAAGGGTCAATGATATGATGCTACTTTTTTCATCCAAAATTAATTAATATACATATATAATATATAATAATAATAATAAATCAAGGTAGTGTCAAGAACTGTTCTGATATCATAATAAAGAAAAACTCATTAAAAGGATGAAATTCTTGAAAAGAAAACTTTGGGTTCTTTGGCATATTGTTACTATTATTATTTCTAATAAAAAACAGGTGCCATATTAACAGGTTTATTATAAATATTCTAAACATTTGAAAAACCTGTGTCTGCCAAATCAAGTGACATGATGCGACCAACAAAATCATGTGGTGCAAACATTGTAGTGAAACATGCAGGAAAAAAACTGAAAATTGTATCAGAGCGGATCCCTGTAGACCGTCACGACTGAGTGTCAATGTCAATAAGTCTTAAAAAATATATGATAATTTTACCTCCTTATAACATGGCAAGGTTATTTCAGGTTGTAAAATGTCTAAAGTGGTACAATCTCTAAAAACTGAATTAATAATGACATTTTTACATAGAATTTTTTATTAAAATATATTTTTTAATCATGATTAAGAAGTCTACACTTGCATGTATTTAAGGTGTATGGGAAATCATATAAATTTTGACTGAAAAATTACATATGACATTTTTAGAGTGATTCAATAAAAAAAAAATGAAACTGTACAAAAAAAATTATTACATTTGAAACCAACATGAATACAAAGATTACATTTCAAAAACTTGGCACATGCATTTTAAACTAGATCTTTCTTTTTTATTGGTATTATTATTATTTATTAATTTTGTATCTTGGACATATATTAGAATAGATTTAAACAGCTTCTGATTCTGGCAGCTGAAGTAGAGAAATCTGAAGGGGATAGAAATATCAAACTTGTTTCATTTTGGAGAAGCAATGTCTTCATTTTAGAGGAAAGTGGCCAAGTCGAGTGAGCCATAAACATCCCTCTCCCATTTGTGCACTAACTCTGTCTCTCTCTCACCTACACACAACACTGGTATCTAACCGACACACTCGCATTTGTCAGTACAGTAAGATGTACTCATTTCAGACAAAAACACTTCCACATGACACCAATCCGGCCATCCTGCTCTGGTTTTGTAATACATCAATCCTACCTTGAGTCCCAGCTCCTGAATCCAGTGCAGGCACAGAGAGTGTAGTGTTTAGCCACTTGTGGTAAGTGCCTGTTCCATTTTGTTTAATGTCAGTAAGCCTGTAAGAGCACATAAAGCCAAAGACTCTTAGATGAAGACTGATCTGAGGAGAAGTGCACGTGAGATGCTCCGTTTCCCAAAGAACAACGGCCACAGCTGGTCACCCTTAAATCCTGCAGGCATCCAAACTGACCCTTTTGCAAAAAGTCCCTTACACTTCTACAGATATTTAAGATCGAGTCCACATCCCGAAAAGTCATTCAGCTCCAGAAGTAGTACGTAAAATGAACGTTTGTGTATAAGGAGGGAGAGGGAGTGGGGACAGGGTGGGACGAAATTGAAGAGGCCCCTCGAAGTGTGGCAGCAGCTGTCTGCCTCACGCACACACACACACACACACACATACACACAAGTGTGATGCATACAGAGGCATAGGGCCACAGTGTCACTGTCTTGACTTAACAGAGATGCCATTGAGGGACAAACTGTAGGGGAATGCCATCCAAACTGAATCACTGACTGGTCAGTCTCTCTGCAGATAATTGACGTAATCAGGCGCAGCAACGGAAAAAAGAGATACAAAGAAATAATAAAAAATGCCAAGCAATGCGAGACCACAAGCTGTTGCAGTCGTAGCAAAACGGCACGACTCGCATAGACAGCCAATGCATCAGCATTCATTTCTGTCATGCCTGAAATTCCAAGCGCATTACTCTGCACCGTATTTTAGATGAGGTGCACAATCATATTGGGCAACATGTAGACATGTAAAGTGTTTGTGCTTCTCCACTTCTCAACACCCTCTTATGTTCTCATCATCGTTGTTTGAAATTATTACATGTCTCTTTGGAATATGTGATTTTGAATGCAGCACTGAGTGGTCCAAAATATGTATGTAGATCATTAAAGCAGGAAAATAAATAAATCACTCAGAAATAACAAATTTGAAAGAGACACAAAGACTTGGAAGCGAGAGAACTTAAAATAGAGGAAGACTATTAAAATAGAGGAAGGATGTTACATTGCAGATAAATATGTTAGCTGACTATAGGGATGGGTATTGTTAAGGTTTTAACGGTATTACTTCTCTTACGATACTGTTTATCGATCCGGTACTTTAACGGTATTTTATACCGTATATATAAATATATGAAACTAATTAAGAGCTGAATTAACATTGCTTTATATTTTGATATGTAAAATAAATATTTAATGAAATTAATATAAAACATAAATTTGTAAATGCACCAGTGTGCAGGCATTTTTAGTGTTTTATATACATAAGATAACATGCAGTAAGAACATGAACAAAGAAGCAAACTGACAAATACAGTAAAACAAAGATACAAATGAAATAAACAAGTGCTTTAATTTTTTCATGAAGACCTACTAACATTATTGTTCAGGTAGGCCTAAGTAATATAGCCTACAAAAGAAATCTAATAAAGTAATCAAATGTAAATGAACACTGCATAGTTTTCACTGTATGAATTGATAGATTAATGCTTATTAAAGCTAACGTTATTCAGATAACGTTATAGCTGATTTTCTCTTTGCGTTGTTGTTTGATTAACATTGATGGCCCAAGTACCCGCCACTGCTGTCACTTTAAGACAAAATATACTGACACACATCGGATTTTCTCCCAACTGTTCCCGTCCACTTAAGACATAAACTGTGTTTGATCGTTTGGACCTGCACCCGAAGCCCAAAGTGTATTTTGCTTGTCTAGTTGTGGTCCGTATTGGAGCGCACACACACATTTCAGTCTGGGGAACAGCGTCTCTTGCTCGGATTACTGTGCTTTCAACATTTTATTATCAAACATGTCCCACAATTTAGCAACAATAAGAGGGTATTTTACAACAATCACCGATTGTGCTGTTTCTGATGTTAAGTTTGGGTTTTAGGGAGGAAAGAATGCGCACCGCTGTTAAGGGAAGGAAGTTGCGCTAGATGAAACGCGGCTAGTTTTTAATAGTTTTACCTCATATCTTCTTTTTTATAATCCTTAGAAGCCAAAATCAAAATAAAATTAGCTTAATATCACAGCCACAGGCCTAAAGTGTAAGCAGCTGTTTGAATGTTTAGTTCTCTTCGCTATTATAATTAAACAGGGCTTTCATATTGCGCGCGCTGAAGCTCCTGCACGTGAGCGCAATCTCGCTTCTGAATTGTGAATAGCAAAAATGCATCATGGACAAATGTCTGAATATTATTGC